TGATAGCATTCATGATTCTAAGGAATGGTAGGAGGGAGAACAGCACAATAAAGATAATGGATTTCAAGAAAACAGACATTAGCAAAAGAGTCCTACAAAAAGTGGAAACTAGTTAAAATTACAAAGGATGAATATAAACAAATAACACAAGTATACAGGGACAAAATTAGAAAGGCCAAGGCACAAAACAAGATTAAACTAGCTAGAGACATAAAGGGTAAAATGAAAATATTCTACAAATACATTAGAAGCAAGAGGAAGACCAAGGACAGGGTAGTCCCATTACTCAAGAAGGGGGACAAAACAATAACAGAAAATGTGGAAATGGCAGAAGTACTAAATGACGTTTTTGTTTCAGTTTTCACCAAAAAGGTTAGTAGCAATTGGACATCTAACATACTGAATGCCAGTGAAAATGAGCTAGGATCAGAGATTAAACTAGGGAAAGAACAAGTTAAAAATTACTTAGACAATTTAGATGCCTTCAGGTCACCAGGGCCTGATGAAATACATCCTAGAATACTCAAGGAGCTGACTGAGGAGATATCTGAGCCATTAGCTTAGTCATGGAAGACAGGAGAGATTCCAGAGGACTGGAAAAGGGCAAGTATAGTGCCAATCTATAGGAAAAGAGGACAACCCGTGGAATTACAGACCAGTCAGGTGGTTAACTTCAGTACCTGGAAAGATAATGGAGCAAATAATTAAGCAATCAATTTCCAAACACCTAGAAGATAATAAGGTAAGTAACAGTTAGCATGGATTTGTCAAGAAAAATCATGTCAAACCAATCTAATAGCTTTCTTTGACAGGGTAACAAGTGTTGTGGATGGGGGGAAGTGGTAGATGTGGTTATTTTGACTTTAGTAAGGCTTTTTATACTGTCTCGCATGACCTTCTCATAAACTAGGGAATTACAACCGAAGTGGAGCTATTATAAGGTAGGTGCATAACTGGTTGGAAAACCGTTCCCAGAGAGTAGTTATCAGTGGTTCACAGTCAAGCTGGAAAGGCATATCAAGTGGGGTCCCCACAGGGATAAGTTCTGGGTCCCTGTTCTGTTCAATATCTTCAGATTCCATGACAAAAATGCTGAATTCCATATCATTTGGGAAAAAATCCCAAATTCCATCTTTGTAGAATAACAAAGGCAGATCCATAAAACTTTGATTGAAATTAACAGAGCAGTTCACACTTCTTAGAGCTATTGTTTCATGTTTTGTGTAGATTTAGGCAAGTGGCAATGCATCCATTAACACTCAGATCACATTTTCAAGGTAATCTCCACAATCATAAGGGCTAGAAACATTTTTTTTTATAACGGAAGGGTTGAGAATAGGTGATGATGCTAATGACCCTCCTGACACTGTTCATGACCTCCCCAGAGCTTACAACCCACAAGTTTGAGAACTCCTGATCTAGACATATTCAAGGCCACATTTTTAGGCTAGGTCTAAAAAATATGTATTAACAATTCTGATCCCATATTTCTTGGTACCTAACTTTGTGGATATGCAAGATGTTTGCATACGCAAATTGGCAATAATAAAGAATCAAAGAAAGAGTCACTTTCGTCTAACATAGAAGTCTAAGGCCTTGCCTACACTACACAGTTTTGTCAACAAAAGGCAGGTTTCATCAACAAAATAGTGGAGTGCTACACCAACATGATAAAACAACCTCAACGAGCGGCATAGAGCTTTTTGCGACGAAGATAGAGTGATGGCACTATCAGTATAGACACTCCATTTGCTTATGTCGCCCTAAGTGGCCTGCAGGAGGTATCCCACAATCTCCATCATGACTGCTCTTGTCAGCAGTTTCTGCTCTGCTGCCCTTCAGCCAGGTACCCATCTGTGCTCGACTCCCCCTGCAGCCCATACAGAACAGCGTTCCATGCCCTGCCCAAACTCCCCACACACATTCTTCACATGTTCCTGGCCCGTCGTAATTCCCCTTGCACTCCACCCCTACTGATATGTACCATAATGACAGCTGGATTTACACTCAGCTGTGCAATCCTCATTTCAGAGAGGATCAGGTCCCTTGTAAGAAATGTTAATCTGTGTATTGCTGTTTAATAAAAATGTATTCTTACAAATACAATAATTCTTTATTTGTGTCCTACAAACAAGGGTTGCAACAGAACTTAGCACATCTGGAGATTACAATTTATCTTCAGGCAGGAATCATTACAAGGGTCATTCAAGGTGGCAACTAAACAATGCCTGGCTGAATGCATTACAGAAAGACACATTACTGTGGCTCATTGTCAAAATGTGCCTCCCTGATTCGAATAGCTTCTAGCCCTTTCACCATGGTGCACTGTGGGAAATCTTTACTGCCCACCCTGCATGTTACAGGAAGTTTGAACAGCCCACCAGTATAGCCTGCCGAGCAGTCATTTTGCTCTATGCACCAGCTACCGGAGCCAGCAACATGGAGGGAGGCGCCCTTTGAAGAACTTCTCTTGCTTGAGGTTTCACTTCTGTGTCAGGAAACTGGCAGAGCTTCCATGAAATGCTGGTTGATGTTTTGTTGGCATTTTCTGACCCACTGAAGACACCTGATAGAGCTTATGATGGAGCAGGAGAAAGAGGAGGCAGAGGAGGAGTCCAGGCATCTGCCCAGGCATGGCAGATTTGCATTGGCTGATGCTGCTCATAATACTCGGTATAGCCACTGATGTCCCCTACATGGACTGGCACTTCTGGAGCAGGGTCCCAAGCACAGACTGATGGGATCATATCAGCATGCAGACCTGGGATGACCAGCAGTGGGTCAAGAACTTTAGCATGAAGAAAACTACATTTCTGGAGCTTTGTGAGCAGCTTACTCCAAACCTCCAGCATAAAGACACATGTATAAGGGCATCCTTGCTTAGAGAAGGTTGCTATAATCATCTGGAAGCTGGCTACCCCAGATTGCTATAGGTCCGTTGCCAACCAGTTTGTTGTTGAGAAGTCAACTCTGGGTAAAGTGGTGGCGCAGGTTTCTGAGACAATCAGTCAGTATGGTTTATCCCAAGGTGGTGAGCATAAAAGAAACTCCTGAAGTAATTGCCAGCTTTTAGAGAATGGGGTTTCCAAACTGGGACTCATATGCCAATAG